TCTCCCTCTGACCCTCCTCCCTCTCATGCTCTCTGTCTCTCATTCTCTCTGTCTCAAATAAATAAATAAAAAATCTTTAAAAAAAAAAAAAAGAATGAGCAAATACTTGCCCAGCTATTCTATTCATAAAGATGGTACCTAATTTCCCACAGTCTTCATTTGGCTATTCTTTGTTAGGGGTGAGTTGTGAGATTCTGACAGTAAATCTTCACCCTGAACTTCTAACAGACATGTTTACCAAGAGCTGCATTGGCCTAATCATTTCCAGGTTCTGTTCCAATGTTGCATTTGTAAATAAAAACAATGCAGAAGTGTTTCAAAACCTTAAAACTTCATCAAGGACTATTTCACTCTTTGAAAATTTCATTGTCAATGATGATCTTCACTTGCAAACCTCTCATTTTCAAAAAAGCATTCAAAGAAATTAAAAAAGAATCATAGAAGTCATTTAATTCAAATTCCCTTCTAATGCATGAATTATATCAACCACATGAGAAGATGTAATAGTTAACATTCAGATATTTTTAAAAATCATTTTCTTCTTTTTAAAAGATTTTATTTATTTGAGAGAGAGAGTACACATGTGCTGAGCAGGGAGAGGGGGTAGAGGGAGAGGTAGAGGGGAAGGGGCAGAGGGGGAAGGATAGGGACAAACAGACTCTGAGCCAAGGGCAGAGCACCACTGGGGGCATGATCCCAAAACCTGATATCACAACCTGAGCTGAAACCAAGAGCCAAGCACACAACTGACTGAGCCACTCAGGCCCCCCTAAAAATCATTTTCTATTCCATATCAGATTCATCTAAGAACACAGAAACCTTCTGCTGTATAAATACTGAATTTTGTATTTAAAGGCAAAAGTTTTCATCAAAAATGAAAAACTAAGTCAAAACTATTACATTCCATTTTCATGTCTTTTATGACACAGATGATCACCTTTAAATGTATCAATGGCTCTCCCCGGTTTTATTTTTCACACTTCGAAAAGTAAGAGTATTCTTTTTTTTTTTTATGATCAATTAGCCAACATAAGGGCGCCTGGGTGGCTCAGTCGTTAAGCGTCTGCCTTCGGCTCAGGTCAGGATCCCAGGGTCCTGGGATCGAGCCCCACATCGGGCTCCCTGCTC